ATGATCAACATTGGCGGCATATAATCGGCTCCAGATCATGTGGCCGCTTGTTCTGGCTGCGAGTTGAGGGGGTGAACTCTGCTTGTTTTTCTTTATTTTTTTCTGCGACTTCGATTGCGTGTGGTGAAAAACCAACGGGTAATTCACAGGTCATTAACGTCAGGGTCCGTTCTAAGCGGTATTTGCGCAAAATACAAAAATCGTTGCATCACCCCTTTAGGCCGACGGTGACGCTGCTATACGCAGAAATGGGCGCCTAAGAGCTGCGCTCTAAAAAATGGCATGAGTGAGGAATCTGTGTTATGCAATATCTTGAGGCCATTTGTGTGGAAGAATTCTCTTTTGTGTTTTCGTGTGTTTCACTGCTTGTCTAAAGTTTGTTCAAATGAAGTTGAGAAAGAGGGGCACGTTAATCAGTTCTAAACATTATCAATATCAGTTACATGACAGCCACAGTTCCACTGTATATCATTTCTTGTTGTTAAAACACTGTTTTCTTTTCTCATATTCCCTGGTGCTTAAACTTTATGCGTTGTTCAAATTTTTCTGCTTCTTTCTGCAGGGGTTGTGGCGACTTCAAGACGCCTAGTTCTGATTGGCCGTTTGAAGGATAGTGGTACCATGATGATTTTTACGCAAGACTGGGGCAGAAGGCAAAAGTTCTTTACAGTGGAAGAGAAAAAACAAGAATAGCATCTTGCTGTCTGTCCTCGACGCTCCCTGTCCTTGTTTCTCTTCCAATGGAAAATTTCTTCTGCCCCAGTCTCGGGTTAAAATCACTGCAGTAAACTTTCACCAGCTCGCCTGCACACTGATCGTAATTATCTGAAGGCAGCTTGCTTTGAGGTCTACCCACTGTCCTTCAATCAGAGCTAATCTGAGCTCAACGTTCTGACGTCACCTCAACCCCCGCAAAAGAAGCAGACGAACTTGCACTCCTCAAAGACTTTGTCCTTCTGTGTTGATGTTCAGTTATCTGAGTTTGAGATGTTCTCTCTTCTTTTTTGTGTTCGTTCTACATATTTGTGTTTTTTCTTACGGGAGCGTGGTTTTTTTTTTTCATATTTACCTTTGTTTCGTTGTGTGCTCAATGTTCGCAGAAAAATTGTAGTGTACGCTTGGTGCATTCCCCAAAAAACGAAAGTGGAACTGCTGGAACTGCCCTAACACATATAATTTTTGCTCTATGTAACATTAATGTTTACCTTGTGTCAATTAGCGAGCTATGGACATGTGGTCTTTTTGTGAAGTGTGAGACTTCGTTGGGCAGCGCCGACGACAAGTTTTGGGAACGTAGCAGTGATGACAATGGGAACGACAGCACTGGTATGGATAACAGATATAGGAGAACAACAGGGAGGAGTTTCACTTGTCTCGCCCTTAATGTGAGCTTCCTAACTTGAATAACGCTTTGGCATCTCGTGCGCACACGTGCTGCTAAAGCATGCCGGAAGGCATCGAGCACGCAAATGAAAGCCAGGATTTCGAAAGGGGCACCCTGCAGTTCCCCCATGTTTGCTGTACAATATGCACCTTAGCATAATTTTTTTTCCACTTTGCTGACATGCAGTGTGAAAGGGTCGACTTACAATCGTGTAGATATGGCAACTAATTTATTGCCGGTGTTTTCTTTTGCTTACGGGGGCTGGAAGTTAGCGGTTGATTTACCTGCAGCCTTGTATAATACAAGAACCTAATTGTTAATGAGTCAGTTTTGTTTTCAGGATCAACAGCTGTTGACTTGGTTCAAAAGGCTCATTCACGCACTTGCACTGGCTTAAGCGTGGAACACATGAGCGGCGAAAGTGGGGGCCCCCCAGCGCTTGCTGCTAGGCGCACCGCCAGGCGCACCACACGGCTTTATTTGTGCCGATCAGATCTGGGCGACGCCGCACCGCACAGAAGTGACGTGGGGACGCCAGCACCGGTTGCTATAATGCTGCCTCGCAGCGTTTCGTTTTGTTTGCTCGTGTGTCTCCTGCTGTAGGACCGAGTTCTTGTCATCTCTTATGACTAAAGAACACAATTGGACGGCGGAGGCGTCTGTCAGGTTACCCCGGTACTGCATTTTACTAGAGCGAAAGTTTTGCAGTATATGCAAGATCACATGTGCATTCTGTCGACGAAAAATTGTTTGACATAATCTAAAGTTTTTTGAGCCAAACAAGGAATGATGCGCGTAAAAGATCGGAAATATATCAAAGCTGAAAAAGTTCCACAGCTCTCCGACAGATGGCATTAGTGTGCTCGCTCATCAAAAGAGATTTAAGAGGTTTCAAGGCACACAGTCATAGTCACTTGTAGGTGTGTGAATCAGTCTTTACTTCACACGTAGGTATTGAACAATATTTGTTTTGCATTTTCTTTGACAGGTGGACACCGTGTCCGCTGCTATGACCTGCAGGGGTTGCTACTTCGAAGACGCTCATGGCCTCCCCTTTTCTCCTAAATATCTGGAACAAGCCAAAACAGCTTCTCTAGGGGTGAAGGAAGGCAAGTCCTCACAGACCCATTTTGAAAAACAGCCGAAGTAAAACTTTAGATTAAGCTAATTGGTTCATGAAGGCACCAATATTAAAAGTGCAAGAAAACAGGTGGAGAATGCCTGTCCGTGTCATCTGCATCTTCTTCGTTCCTGTCTTTTTTATTTTAGCTTTTTAATACCATTGAAAAACAGGCCATCACTAATGAAAATGCAGTGAACGTGCAGTCGAGCTGTTCATAGTTTATCATATTGTGTTACACAAATTGAAGAAACGGACGTCTCAAACTCGGTTAAATAATTTGTTTTGTACAATCCTTAGATGCAAACAATGTAGTCACCACCACCTGCCCATGATGTGCTGCATCAGTAACACAAATCTCCAAATTCAGTTGCGCACCAGCGACCTAGCTGTGTTCGGAGATTTGTGCTTGTCCTATGTCCCCCTTGCTTCCTTTGTCCAGTGATTATTCTCGTTACTCTTGTCCTGCTCGACGCACCCTTGCATTAATTGCATTATCATCATAATGAGTTGTCCTTGGGTACTATAAAGTTTGTACAATTAGCCTAGCCAAAAAGATCCATCATTTCCTCTCGAATTTCTTTTGCTTGAAAATGCTGGAGCATAGCACGAACATGGATGGTCTCTCGCTCAGTGTAGCATGCACTAGTTAGTTTTCTTCTCCAGAGGTGGCGCCACTCATGAACCATCTCCAACAGATGAATGGTTTTTGATGAGCATGCCACATCGCCATCAGCATAGATAGAAAAAGCAGCACGCGTCGGTTTCACACAAGACAAGCATGAGCTTGTCGTCGCCTGCCAGAACTCGATTGGAGTGGCTGTGTCTTTCCTTTACTCCTCAGGAATCTAGCCAGGGTTCACTCGGTGTACTTAGCTTCTTTGGCCTGGCCATTGGGCCGGTTTCGTAATCAGGGTCGTGGGCTAGGCTTCTTGTGAATGTTGTCGGCTACCAGGTTGCGGTTTTTCACTTAGGGAGGCTCTAGTGAGGGTGGGCGTAACTGCTAGATCGGGGATCGCGGGATATGGACGCCATTTAATTGCTAATTTTGGCTGGGAGTCTACAGGGCAAAGTGTTGTTTTATTTCCTAACTCAGGTCATAAAAGCTCATTAATGTGCTTGAATAATTTATGCAAGGTATAAGTGATTACTTTTCTATAGCCACCAGTTTTGGTCCGATAGGCAGTGATGGAAGTGCTGCGCCAACTGCGCCAAATTGCGCCAAGGACGCAATCCTGCTACATGTAGCGCCAAATCGTCATTTTACCGAAGAATTGCGCCATGCCTGCGCCGAGATGAGATGCAGCAATAAAAAATAAAAATTGAAGTCTTATCAGAGCGCGTGGTGGTACTGCGGTATTCTCCGCGCCGCAACTGTTACGCAAACCGAAACGGCGAGGGCGCATTATCATCATCATCATCATTGAAAGGAGCAACGTTAGCAACATCTGAGACCAAAGCCGCAGAGACTAAGCGGAGAACCATCCCACTAAACAGCCTATTTAAAAAAAAAAAAAAAAAAAAGGTCGAGCTTGTGGATGTTTTTAATGTTGGCCCGCCCTGTTCCCGTGCGCTAGCTACCAGCGAAGTCAAAGCTAGCGCGAGCCCAATGCTCTGTGCATTCCTGACTCGCGCGTGGGCTCGTGCAGTGTCGGCACCGTTACGGGCTCCATGCGCGCGCTTGTAGCTTCGGCTGCGCTCGCACCGAAGCTGAAACAAAGTATAGATGAGTTGCACCAAACTCTGGATGTAGTGCTAGTAAAGCCTCACCGTCCTTTTCGGAGCATAAAGCACTGCGCGACTCGCGCGTCTGCGGTGTCTGCTGTGCGGGTGTCGCTTCTCTGCAGCGCGTCGGTGCATGCCAAGGAGCGCACTCAACGGGTTAACTCGCCGTGATCCGATCGTGACTTCGCCAGCACATCGAAAATTAATTGGAATTTTTGAAGCGAATATCAGATACCGCAATCTTTGAAGCTGCTGTCCGAAAGACAACTCTAATCTGAACTAAAACATTCCACAAGAGTGAGGGTCGTTAGATGCTGCTGCAGATACCTTAAGAGAAGTGCAGGCTGATAAAATTAAATATCCTGTACCATCAGAACTCAATGTGACATATTTAATTATATTTTTTTTTATCTGACGAGCAGGTAAACTTTATATCAAAATTTTTTTTTGCGTTTACTTTGTTGAATTTTATAGTCTTAAAAAGGCGACAGGCGCTGTGTTCCAATAATAGAGATGGGCTTCCTATAGCAATGCAGCATTATTTAATTTTCAAGTAATGTGCCAACATATGCCGGACCCTGCTCCAAAAGGGCCACTAACTGCTCCAAAACAACATTTTGCCTGCTACAAGGCCTGCTCCAAATGGTCAAATTGCACTTCCATCACTGGATAGGTTAAGTATTTGTTTAATGTGAAAAATGGTTGATTCCGCCATCTTGGACGCTGCTGCTTGTTTGGCAACCCTGCTTTCTCCTCTCAATGTTTGCAATTCCCGGAGCGAGAAGGAAGCGAGAAAGGCTATGCCAAGGCATTTGTTTCTTGCAATGGGAGGTGAGGAGAGGCGCATAGGGCTACAGAGTTGCAACATTGCGGGCATCTGCTCTCGTGCAGGAAACATTGGCTCATATTCTTTCCTAATCCTCTCCCTCAGGCGCCGCCATTAAATTGCAAACGCTCTCCAGGATATGAGTTGCGCCCACCATCACTAGAGCCCTATTCACAGTAAGTCACCCGCTCCTCCATCTATTTCAATGGTAACCAAGCTGTGGCTCGCGAGCCGCATGAAGCTCTTTGCGTTTTAAAGTGCGACTTGCCACTCCCTCCTCTTCCCCCCCCTCCCCCCCCCCCGGAATCCATTGAAATCGAAAGACAGGTTGCAGTTTGGTTGTCTTGTGCTACTGCTACCTTACGTGCAGTTTGACTGCTTTTGAACTCGGACAGATGGAAAGTAGTTAAGTATCGTTTATTGCGCTGAACAGAAGTTTGCCCCCCCCACCCCTTGGAAGTTTTATGGTTTTGTTTGCGGTTCTTAGGCCGGGTCAGCCTGGCCACCCCTGATCTATTTAGTAATTGCAACATGTCCATAGGCTTTGTAATTCACTGGCATTTACACACTTCATAACATAACATAAGCCGTGTACGCGGGATAAAACACTCAACCAGCTGAGTACTTTTTTTTTCAATTTTTTACTACAGGTTTGATTACAAGGAGTGTTCTTCCCCCTGCCACTCTGCCTCGTTTTACCTTTCGCTGCAAATTCTCTCCTCCGCCAACGTGCAAGCATGCGCCTTGGGCCCTTGGATTCTCTGTGCACTGTTCGGTCGCATTAGCACAGAATGTATGTAAGGATCGGTGCAGTTAAAATGTAACAAATTTTGCAAAAAAATTTAATTTTGGGTTTTATGGTTGTTTATTATCTTTTAATTTTTGATGTTTTATGTATCAAAATAATCAGCACCGGTTGTTATCATGAAATTAGTCAAATACATACTTGAGGACCTCTATACTGCTTTTCACCTTCGGTCCGAGCGCAGCCGATGTTATGAGCCAAAGGGCCAATCAAACAGTGCAAAAAGAGCAACGTGATGGCGTGTTCTCTGCGCTTGATAGGACTAGCCGGCAAAGGAGCACGCACAGAGAGACGGCGAATGGCGGCTGGTTCTATCAACAGCAGAGAGCATGTCATGGCGTTGTGCCTCTTTCGCTGTTTGATTGGCCCTTCGGCTCATAACATTGGCCGCGCTCGGATCGGAGCTGAAACAAACTATAGGCAATTCAGAATGGTATGAATTTGAGCTATATTTTTGTGCATGGTTCAAGTTGTGACATCGCCCGCAATTAGGTTTACATTGACAAGCAATTGCCTAACTGTCTTCTCTCCATTGCAGTCTTCTTTGGCTTCAAATTCTCACATAAATTTATGTGAGAATTCGGTATTCTAAACTATATGCATACCGAATTCGGTTGGGATAGGACAATATTAAGAAGTGAAATTCTTTTGCACAAACTGTAAATGTGTTCAAATGTTACCATAGATTTGTAGCTATACACTTCCACGGTGTGGAAAATAATATTTTGTTCATACATGTATGAACAAAATATTTCCACATTCACAGTTTGTGCACAAGAATTTTATTTCTTAATATTGTGCTATCCCAACCGAATTCGGTATGCCTATAGTTTATAACATGTAGAATGCAAGTAAGTATCTAGGCAGCAGCGTATCAGACTGACGAGTTGCTCGCCCATGGGTTGGTCTAACGAGCCAGGACATCCCGTAAAGGAGGGGGGGGGGGACGACAGGAACGTCTGTGCCAGAGTCTACCTTGAACTGGAGGAGCGAGCCGTTAACGTGCACAACGACGTAGCGGCCGGGAGCTTGCGACGGTTCCACGGGGTGCAAATGGTTATGGCCGAGGCACTTCGTTTTGGAGCGGCAAACGGACGCGAAATGCTGCTACTCTAGTATCCTTTTCAATGTTCGCTAGCACCTCTGCTTGCATCAATTCGTTAGTAATTGAATGTCGCCTAGACATGAAAACTTCGCAATGCCAAATCCTTCCTGGGCCTCCACTTGCTACAGAGGTGAAGGACTGACCATGCAGGGCACAAAATGTGCTGTGCACAGCAAATACACCTCGAAAGGCATAAGCATTTCAGCATACGCATATGTTCTGAATGACGACATGAACCATGCAAACAGTATGGCTTATCTCGTTGCCTTCTCGCTGTCATCTCCTCTCCTGTTTTGCTTTCGGGAGATCTGGGACGGACATCAGCAGTAGCGCCCTTGAGTTGGGCCTTAAGCCAGCAGAGCGTGTGAGTAACCATGTACGTACACACGTCATGTGCGTGCTCTAAGGCTTTGTCCAAGGATGTCAGTAGAGGGAGTGGCTTTCGCCCAACAGTAAATGTGTTTTAGCGGACCTCCCTTTCCCTCCAGTAAGGGCTGAGTGCAGCACAAGCCGTGCCCTGTTTGGACAGCCCTTGACTCAAGCTGGTGTGATGCAGTCATGTTGCCACTCTTGCATTGATCACTTCACTCATAGAAAGCGAAGAAATACCTGTATGGGGACTGCATTCTTTCGCTGCAAACAATATTTTTCTTTTCCTGGTGCATGGTTAGCCAACAGCTAGTCTTGAAAAAATAGACTTTTAGTATAGGATTGGATATTGCGAGACATATCCTCTTATGTGCCTATAGGCCAATGTGGTGTTCACAAACAAGCCGGTATTTGCCTGCACCGGGTGTGGGCAGTACACTTGTGCAGAAACAAGGTTTGTGTGAAGCGTCTGTGCATGCTCCAAGCTGACAGCAGTGCCACTGTGGCAGCATGACACCATGGCTGCAAGCTGGTGTATATGCTTGTAAGGGCATAGAAATATTTCTGCTCCGAAGCTATATTCATTATTGCACTCCTTGCGATACCAGCTCCCTGGCCATGCCTTTGGTAAACAGAAATAGAAACTTTGGAGTTTCAAGAATTGATATTGCTCTCTATAAAAGCCATAGCAAGAGATGTGTGATGAATAGCATGCAAGTGTTGAAAATGTCATTGTCTACATTTACATATATAGTGCATGGGGCATTTTAGAACATGTTGCCACATCAGTCTCTGCAAATGCAATTTTATGTGCTACATGTTTCCAGCAGGACCCACCTCAGACACCACCGACAAAGAGAAGGGCTTGTGAAAGTCTCCTCCGCAGTGAGAGCACAAACACCAATGCCGTTTTTGTCTTTACCCTGATCACGAGACAGGAAAGGACACTCTTGGAGGAAAGAGTTTGCAGTCAAAACCGTATATAACGAACAGCGGGAAACGCTGCAATCAGTTCGATATAGCAAGTAGTTTGATATAGCTAAAAACATTTACATCGAACTTCCGCGATGAGTTCGTTGTAAGGCGAAGGGCTTGTTTTTTTTTTCTCATCTCTTCAGTTCTGCCTTGTAACACGGTGCTGGAAAGATTTCTTCTTCTTTTTTTTTTTTGCATACGTGCAGAGTTTGTAAGCTTTGGGATGAAAACATTTTTTTTTCTGTGCGTGCTTGCAGAGTGTATTTTTTTAGCTTCTCCCCTTCTAAATCGCTGATTCGCTCAATTTTGTTTGGAACTTGAGCTTTTGGAATTTTCTGTCTTTCATACTTCTTTTTTTGGGAAGGGACAAGCTAGAAGGCGATTGTCTGCGCGTTTTTGGAAGCCTTCCCGGGGGAAAAAGTTTGATATAGACAATATGTTGTTTGTTATAAAACATACTTTTTACATACATTTTTATTTAAATTTTCCATGAGTTTGATATCGACGATAATTCGCTGTACGTGGGTTCGTTATAAACGGGTTTTACTGTATATTAAAGCACAGCACTTCTAGGAGAGCATTCAAACATGTAACCAACTTGATGAGTCTCGGTATAATTCATAACGGACAGCGGCAGTAACAGTGGTAGACTTGTGGAAAAGCGACCATATGAGCAGATCTATGTTTGCATTGGACGAGGTACCAACTTGAGGGACACCCGTCTAATACCACATTGAGACCCCTTTTGTACTCAATTCAAGCTCCTTCATCTTTGAGGTTATATATTTGTGAGCAGAACTCGTATGTTTGCAGAACCAATCTGATACTTTTTTTTTTACGAAAAGTAGGAAAGACTATGGTGTTTCTTGCAAATCTCTTTGTGTCCTTAATTAATATAAAAGTTGGCACTTGGCAAAAGCATGACGAGTGCTTTTGTCAAATGTGACAAAAATCACTCTAAAATTGTCGTTATATTATTTTAAACACAAATCTGTTGTAATCTGCTTTTTTGCAAATGCTGACCTCAAGGTTCCCTTCATTGAGCCTGAGTACTGCATGAAGGTGTGCGTTACCTTTCTAACTATTGCAGCCCCAGACGTAAGTGCAGTGTCACAGGTAACACACGCAAGAGGGCATTGGTTTGCCGTTTTCCAAATATATTTTTCTGCAACGTCCCCCTCTTCCTATTTTTTTTTTAACTTGAAGAAATGTTTTATTGTAAGGTGTTAGACAAACCTGAGTAATTTCGCTGTGAGCTTGGGGATCTTGAAATGCTGAACTATGGGGCAATGAATTTTTTACTTTTTCTGGGAAATGTGAATTTTGTGTTCATTTATTGTTTTTTTCATTGATAAATCGTTTTATTGTGAAGTTGTCAAACTCTAATACTTCCGCAACTATACATTGCTTCTTGCTAGTAAAGGTAGACAAATGTAAAAGCTGCTATACAAGTATCCATGAATAAAGTATGACATAAGTAAAAAAGAATTATGTATTTGTACCGTGAGAGCCAATAAAAGTATAAATCCACTTAAGAATTACGATTTTCTCAAATCAATAGCATGAAGTAAAAGGCAAACTTGATTGTCCGATACAGAGTTTGACCGTATATGAATGCTAGTCCTGTTTGTTTTATTTGCGTCTGTTTTTTCTGAGTACTCCTCTTACTAATACTTTTGCTACAACATTCCTTTGGTGCCTGTGTCAGTCTGCCATGTTTGGGTTGTTAAAAAACGGTCAAATGTTTACATGACACCAGTGGCAGTGCCTTCAATTTCTTCTCTTCTCAAACTTGCAGGTCGACTTTGGCAACAATCGCAAGATGCAGCAAATGGCACATTGCTGCTTTGCAGAGAAGCTTCTTCTCACTGGCCAACTTAACTTTCAGGAGCATGCATTCTCTGTGCAGTGTTCTTGCTCACACCAGTCCAGCATCACTGAATCGAAATGAGTGTCTTAGTGCGTAAAATGGATCTCAGTTATTTTGATAAGAACAAGCAGTCAACCTACCTGATCGCATTCACCACCACTCCGTTTGTGGAAACCAAACCGGTGTGATGTGGTTATCTTGAAAGGCTTGCTCTTGCCTGGTGTCTGAGACTACAAGATGTCAGTAATCGTGCATCCTTCCACTGGACACAGTGCTTGCATACTCTAGTGTGTGATTTTCTATTGATGTACAGTGACATTGACTCTACAGTGACATTTTGTAGAACATTATTGCAATGGACAGACATTACAGACTACATGGTACCTTTACTGCAGCCTTATATTTCATAGCAATACTGAGGCCCAGAAATTAGCCTCACGTTTTGTTGTTCACGGCCGTTAGGATGCCAGATGAGCTGATTCGATGAAGGTTAAAGTGCAGGTGAAATGTTTCTGCATGAATGGGCTACGGTTATCAATTTTTCTTTCACTTAAAGTGTGATATCACTTTAATGTGACTCCTTTCCTTAATACTTTAATTGTTCTTATTTGCCGGGTTTGTTTTCTTTGATTGGAAGCGAACTGGTCATGGGACGCTTGTTTCTGTTTGCCACTTTCTTTGCCAAGCTTGTCTAATGTTTGTGTATTGGCATTGGACTTTCTTTGTCGTTCACTTTCCTTGTCTTGCTTCTCTAACCTCCTCAACAGTGCCGGCGGATGCAGCCTTCCGGGATCATTGGGACAGTGAGAGCGACTCCTTTTCCCCAAGAAGCGAACTGGTTGGGTCGCAACCCACGACGCGGCCACGATATAAGGGCATGTACCACTGCGAGTTCTGCCCTTACTCCAGTTGTCAACCGGGTAATGTCACCGATCACGAAAGGATACACACGGGAGAGAAGCCTTTCCACTGCCCTGTCTGCGAGAAAGCGTTTGCTCGAATCTGTAACTTACAGATTCACATGAGGACCCACACAGGGGAGAAACCATTCCGTTGCGAGGTTTGCCAGAAGGCGTTCACCAGAAGTCATCACCTGATGATTCACAAAAGAGTTCATACGGGCGAGAAACCGTACCAGTGTGGCACCTGTGAGAAGGAATTTTCACATAGATCCAGCTTGTTGCATCACGAGAGAAGTCACAGTAAGGAGCGGCCTTAGAAGTGTATAGCCTGTGGGAAAATGCATAAACCGAGTTGCTATCTAAATTGCCATCGGAAAAAAACACACAAGTGAGGGACCTGCGTTATGCAATATCTGGAGGTATGAAAGTACTCCTTCACGTTTTACCGTGCACTTTACTGTCTGTCTGTGATCTGTTCAAATGAAGTTAAGGAATACAGGCATATTTATCAGTTCTAAACATTATCAGTTACAATTAGGCAACAGGACAGTACAGCTATGTAGAATGTTTAATACAGTTTAGCAGCTTTTAACTTCAGGATGTTTGTCTTAGGATGATGGACAAGCTACTTTTAACTGTTCCTTTTGAGTGGATAAAGATCAAGTGGTTAATTATGCACCTTGAATCCTATGTATGGATTTCAGAGATGACATTTTGAAATGTGGTTCCTTTGAAGTTTTCTGGATTTGCATGCATTTTAACCTAGCTTTTTTCACTTCACTCTAGTTTGAATTTTGTTCCTGAGATTGTAAAAAGAAGTGTGACGGGTACTGTACTCCTTGATTTTTTGTGAATTCATTGAATTGCAAATAAACTACTTTCCCCTACAAGGCATTGCCTTGCTGTTGATGAGCATTCTGCAATCAACAAGCTATACCACGTAAGTTTTGGTTTCAACCTTCCTTGCACTTGATCTGTGACAGCTGACAATTGGAGTATTCTTCAGTGATGTCACGGCTGAACCATTTGCGACAAATTCTGAAAAGTCCTTGTTCTGCTACAATTTGCAAAGTGTTTCAGAATTAGCATTCACATTTTTTATGGTTACTTTTTCCTTGCATTTGAATTATTTCATTAATGAAACAAACTATATGAACTTTACATATAAATTTTTCAAATGTGATGTCTCCCATTCATGCAAGTTTCAACTCTTGCATAGCATGCAAGTGTTGAAAATGTCATTGTCTACATTTACATACATAGTGCATGGTGCATATTAGAACATGTTGCCACATCAGTGTCTGCAAATGCAATTTGATGTGCTACATGTTTCCAGCAGGACCCACCTCAGACACCACCGACTAAGAGAAGGGCTTGTGGAAGTCTCCCCAGCAGTGAGAGGACAAACACCATTGCTGTTTTTGTCCTTACCCTCATCATGAGACAGGAAAGAACATACTTGGAAGAAAGAATATACATTAAAGCACAGCACTTCTAGGAGAGCATTCGAACATGTAACCAACTTGATGAGTCTCGGTACAATTCATAAGGGACAGCGGCAGTAACAGTGGTAGACCCGTGGAAGAGCGACAATATGAGCAGATCTATGTTTGCATCGGACGAGGTACCAACTTGAGGGACACCCATCTAATACCACCTGGAGACCCCATTTGTACTCAATTCAAGCTCCTTCATATATCTTTGAGGTTGTATATTTGTGAGCAGAACTTCTTGAATAGATGTTTGCAGAACCAATCTGAGACTTTTTTTTTACGAAAAGTAGGCGAGGTTATGGTGTTTCTTGCAAAGCGGTTTTTGTCTTTAATTAATATAAAAGTTGGCACTTGGCAAACGCACGGCGAGTGCTTTTGTCAAATGTGACAAAAATTGCTCTAAAATTGTTATATTATTTTAAACACAAATCTGTTGCAAAGGGCTTTTTTGCAAATGCTAACCTCAAGGTTTCCCTCATTGATCCTGAGTACTGCATAAAAGTGTGTGCTACCTTTCTAACTATTACAACCCCAGACGCAAGTGCGGTGTCATAGGTAATACACGCAAGAGAACATTGGTTTGTTGTTTTTTGAAGACTTGCATTGAAATGTAGAGTAAATTTTTTATTCCAAATATATTTTTCTGCAACGTCGTCCTCTTCCTATTTTTTTTTTTAAACTTTGAGAAATGTTTTATTGTAAGGTGTTAGCAAACCTGAGTAGTTTTACTGTGAGCTTGGGCATCTTGAAATGCTGAAATATGGGGCAATGAATTTTTTATTTTTTCTTGGAAATGTGAATTTTGTGTTCATTTGTTTTTTTCATTGATAAATTGTTTTATTGTGCAGTTGTCAAACTAATAATTCTAGAACGCTACATTGCTTCTTGCTACAAAAGGTAGACAAATGTAAAAGCTGTAATACAAGTATCTATGAATAAAGTATGACATAAGTAAAAAAGAATTAACTATTTGTACTGTAAAAGCCAATAAAAGTATAACCCCACCCTAATCCCACTTAAAAATCAAGATTTTCTCAAATCAATAGCATGAAGTAATAGGCGAACTTGATTGTCCGATACAGAGTTCAGCCGTGTATGAATACTAGTCCTGTTTGTTTTATTTGCGACTGTTGTGTCTTAGTAATCCTGTTACCGATACTTTTGCTACAACATCCCTTTGGTGTCTGTGTCAGTCTGCCATGTTTGAGGTGTTAACAAACGGTCAAATGTTTACATGACACCAGCGACAGTGCCTTCAATTTTTTCTCTTCTTAAACTTGCAGGTCGACTCTGGCAGCCATTGCAAGATGCACCAAATGGCACACTGCTGCTTTGCAGAGAAGCTTCTTCTCACTGCCCAACTTAACTTTCAGAAGCATGCATTCTCTGGGCAGTGTTCTTGCTCACGCCAGTCCAGCATCATTGAATCAAAATGAGTGTCTTAGCGCATAAAATGGATCTCAGTTATTTTGATAAGAACAAGCAGTCAACCTACCTGATCGCATTCACCACCACTCGACTTGTGCAAAACAAAACCAGTGTGATGTGCTTGTCTTGAAACGCTTGCTCTTGCCTGGTGTCTGAGACTACAAGATGTCAGTAATTGTGCATCCTTCTACTGGACACAGTGCTTGCATACTCTAGTGTGCGATTTTTTATTGATTGGCTCTACAGTGACATTTTGTAGAACATTATTGGCTCTACAGTGACATTTTGTAGAACATTATTGCAATGGCAGACATTGCAGGCTACATGGTACGGTACATTCATTGCAGCCTTATAATTCATAGCAATACTGAGGCCCAGAAATTAGCTTAGGTTTTTGTTGCTTATGGCTATTAGGATGACAGATGAGCTGATTCGATGAAGGTTAATGTGCATATGAAACGTGACACCTTACCTTAACGTAATGTAATGTAACGTAACGTAATATGACACCTTTCCTTAATACTTTAATTGTTCTTATTTGTCGAGTTTGTTTTTTTTTGTTTGGAAGTGAACTGGTGTTGGGGCGTTTGTTTCTGTTCGCTACTTTCTTTGCCGAGCTTGTCCAGTGTTTGTGTATTGGCATTAGACTTCCTTTGACGTTGACTTTCCTTGTCTTGCTCCTCTGACCTCCTCAACAGTGCCGGCTAATGCGGCCTTCCAGGACGATGGGGGCAGCGAGAGCAACTCGTTTTCCTCAAGAAGCGAACTGGTAGAGTCGCAACCCACGACGCGGCCACGATATAAGGGCATGTACCACTGCGAGTTCTGCCCTTACTCCAGTTGTCATCCGGGTCATGTCACCGATCATGAAAGGGTACACACGGGAGAGAAGCCTTTCCACTGCCCTGTCTGCGAGAAAGCGTTTGCTCGAATCTGTAACTTACAGAATCACATGAGGACCCACACAGGGGAGAAACCATTCCGTTGCGAGGTTTGCCAGAAGGCGTTCACCAGAAGTCATCACCTGATGATTCACAAAAGAGTTCATACGGGCGAGAAACCGTACCAGTGTGGCACCTGTGAGAAAGAATTTTCACATAGATCCAGCTTGTTGCATCACGAGAGAAGTCACAGTAAGGAGCGGCCTTAGAAGTGTATAGCCTGTGGGATAATGCATAAACCGAGTTGCTATCTAAATTGCCATCGGAAAAAAACACACAAGTGAGGGACCTGCGTTATGCAATATCTGGAGGTATGAAAGTACTCCTTCACGTTTTACCGTGCACTTTACTGTCTGTCTGTGATCTGTTCAAATGAAGTTAAGGAATACAGGCATATTTATCAGTTCTAAACATTATCAGTTACAATTAGGCAACAGGACAGTACAGCTATGTAGAATGTTTAATACAGTTTAGCAGCTTTTAACTTCAGGATGTTTGTCTTAGGATGATGGACAAGCTACTTTTAACTGTTCCTTTTGAGTGGATAAAGATCAAGTGGTTAATTATGCACCTTGAATCCTATGTATGGATTTCAGAGATGACATTTTGAAATGTGGTTCCTTTGAAGTTTTCTGGATTTGCATGCATTTTAACCTAGCTTTTTTCACTTCACTCTAGTTTGAATTTTGTTCCTGAGATTGTAAAAAGAAGTGTGACGGGTACTGTACTCCTTGATTTTTTGTGAATTCATTGAATTGCAAATAAACTACTTTCCCCTACAAGGCATTGCCTTGCTGTTGATGAGCATTCTGCAATCAACAAGCTATACCACGTAAGCTTTGGTTTCAACCTTCCTTGCACTTGATCTGTGACAGCTGACAATTGGAGTATTCTTCAGTGATGTCACGGCTGAACCATTTGCGACAAATTCTGAAAAAGTCCTTGTTCTGCTACAATTGGCAAAATGTTTCAAAATTTGCATCCACATTTTTTATGGTTAATTTTTTCTTTGCATTTGGATCATTGATGAAACAAACTGTATGAACTTTATATATACATTTTTTCAGATGTTAAGTCTCCCATTCAGGAGACATCAGTGATGCCAAGTTTAATTCCTGCCAACTTCACATCACTGATGATGTCCTCTGTATGGTAGACACAAGGTCTGATTAAAAAATGTATGCAGGCATACCTTGAAACCTCCAAAATAAAAAGAAAATTAGATGGTTACATATACCTTGGGGTATTAACTTTGACAAAATATAATAAACATATTTTTTTAAGTATATTGTGCAGATATCCACAAATGATATAAAAGAAGTGAGAGGGTGCAGGCAAGCTGGTGAGGAAAGTTCATACCTGTGAACACTGCCCTTTTTTTTATCTTCTCCAAGGCTTCGCATTTTGTCATTATGATGTTTCATGAAAAATGATTATCTCTTGGATATCCAGTGGATATCGTGAAATGATGTTGGGCATTTTGACCATTTGGGTACACATCCTCTGAATGTGATGTGATGTATATTCGGTGTAGGACAAAATGGTACCAAGTAATATGTTGGCACCTGGGGTGCTCTGAAATTTTAGTGAACTGATACAGTGTAGCTTTATTAAACGCATCTGTAATGTGGTATATTTTAATGTACTATTTAAGGTTGCTGTGATATATTTTAGCAAACAACTAAAGAAGCCCAAAACTTGGTTTAAAGTCTATTATCGCTCTACTCGGCTCTAAGGCTCCTATTCGCATAAGTCTGAGCACTTGTAACTGAGGTGGAGCTTGAAAGCCGCTACACAAATACACACACTACAAGGGCAATGTCGCAATTCACTCTGCACTTGATTTGATTAACGGGTAAAAACATACACAAGTCGACGAGCGCAATTAGTAGTTTTGTTTTCAGCACTGCTTGATTGGTCCTATAAGCTCGTAGCGTCGGCTGTCGCTTTAGTAAACCATAGTATAGCGCAATGGCCCTGCAAGCAAACGCAAGCAGATGGTGAATCATACATTATCATGCACATACTACATAGTGTCTGTGATGATGCACATCGCTACTGCGTGATGCATGTTAAACACCCCAGGTTAGCGGTGATACTGCGTTCAAAATTTCTTATCTACAGCATAAATCATGTTGCTGCTCCTCAAAGGCAGACCGATCCTTATGCTGTATGAACACAAACATCAATTTCTCGTGTGCTAACGTGTTATGGAACATTTTTTCTTGCTGATAATGTCAAATATTGTAAACACATTATTTAGCATCTGTACTTGTATATTATTTCTGTAGTTTACTTTTTATTTTTTGCTGGACTCATGCAGTTATTGGCACACAATCTGTTTTGGATTGAGTATATAAGTATTACATTGGTTAGCGTTTCATAACCCCTTGTTTTTTTCTCTTCGTTCCATATGCAGCAAGTACAAACAATCAACTAACCCTTGAAGAGCAAGCAAACTATGTCTCATTTCCTGGGACTATTTTGTACGGGACCACATTGTTTGGATCCCGCAGAATTCCCTTGATGGATTTGGAGCGATCCAAAAGTGCTCTGTATGGTCGTGTCTTTACTGCGGTAGATCCGAGCACGCGCTTGCACTCTCAAGAAGATACGAACAAAAGAACGCTCTAAAACCGCCAAGCGAATTCCGTGTAAGTACAATGATTTATGCAGCATCTAGCTAAGGTGATGACTTTTGACACAAGCACTTAGTTAATGATACAGCTAGAGTAAAAGGTCATGGGCTGTGCCATGGGAAAGTGGAGATAACCCGGAGAATATCTCAACTAAACTAGGGTTCTGCAAACCTATGTTATTGACACAGTTGTGAAGCTGTATAGCGCAAATTGGAGTACAACTTTCTATTTTTCCGGCATTGGCAGTGAAGTGGCGTGGCACATTTGTTAGGCTATGCGAAAATTATAAAACCTCGGGACATATGGTTATACCGGGATGTGAACTATGTTGTTACTAGCCTTCAACTTTTAAAGGACTTACTCTCTGCACCTGAATTTCACAAAACCAAAACTCTAACTAGAGTTGAACCACTGATCTCTATGACTATTTGCTGGATCGCGCATCCCCGCATCTGTGCTTGGTCGCTGCAGCACCACAGGAAAAAGGCGCAACCCGTCATATGCAAGTCTCACCGGTCTCTTGGTGTGATCAAAGCTTCCTTGGCACGCCAAAGTGATATGCTTCTCTGCTTTTGCACGCTTAGATACTGATCATGAAGGAATGCGATTTTCCGGAAATCATCCTTGCAGATGTACAGCGCTCTCAAAGACAGCATCAAGAAGGAAGAATTCTACGATAACACAAAAGGAAGTGGACTTGGAGAACAAAGACTTGCAGAGCTAAGTTTACTGAAGAGCTGGAGACCCTCTGCACCATCTATGTGACTGACACCAAAACAATACGCGTTTGCAAGTCTGGCCTCGTGGCGCCGTCATCTTGCTCAGTTGGGGTGCGCTTAAACACGTCATAATCCAATTACGAAGCCTTGCTGAAGCGTCCTAATCGGATTATGGCCGCACCCAAACGCATCCCAACTGAGCAAGATGGCGGCACCCTAAGGCCAGACTTGCAAACATGTATTGACCACATCGGGATTGCCTGCCGTGGTCTGACCCCGCCACTGGAAACAAACTCAGTCCCTGAGGCCCTGTGATTCATCGTGGCCATGGAGGGCGTGGAGAGGGAGGAGGAAGGGGGACCCGCAGCGGAGGACACACGGGAACCAAAAAGGGTCAAGGCCCTCGAGGGCATAAAATCACGTGCAGCACAAAAGGACGACTCTGGGGCAGAAAATAGAGAAACCTAAGAAGTAAAAATGGCTAGAGTGAGTGCAGCTCATACTCTGCTCACCGCTCACCCGATACAAAGGGAAAAGCCAATATAATCCAATTCAATATGTGCCGGCCTGTTAACATTTATATTCCTAGTTTCCTTCTCTTACTCTGGGTTTTATCCCAGAGAGGAAAATAAACTTTCATAAATAAAAAAATTGTTTTGAAGTATAAATTTTATGATACGACGCAACCCATTAAAAGATATTGAGTGTTATTGTTAGCTTTGTTGGCTTTGTGCCCGCCTTGTTTGGTAGCGTTGGCTACACTGGCCGAGGTTGAGCAGTTTCGCGTGGCTCCCAAAGAGCCCTGCTGCGCAAGCACAAGGAGCAGTGACGTCATACGGCGCACAGCTGGCATGCTGGAGACGACACCGCCGCGCACTCCGCTGCCGCCGTGCGTGCCTCGCCGGTCTGCGCATGCGCAAGGAGCAGTGA